CGACAGTTGACTTCTGAGTTCAAGCTATCATGACCCCACTGTATGTCATATTCGACCACTTTCACAGTACTCACCTCATCCTTCATATACCTTTGTGTCTGTCTCTTTTACATCTTTGAAATACTCTTCTGTTCCCCTCCCCCTCCCCCTCTCGACTTTTTTCGCTTTGATGTTCCTCTCCCTCTGTGAAGCCTGAAGTCAACTAAAGGGCTAATGGTAGCTATCCTAAAGCCTGCCATTTAATATAAATACAATAAGCCGAGTTTTTCGAAAGCCTGTGGAAGAAAAATGCTTTCCAACACAGATCTAAGGTAGATTGGAGTGTTTTGCAATTGAAGCATTTCCACGCCGATGACCTCAACAAGTTAATTATTTAACTAAGCAAGTGCTATCGGGGCCGATGAAATTAAGTAGTGTTGTGGCCATGTGAACAACAAATAAAAATAGCTCTAGTCATTACACGAGGGCTCTGGACTGAAACAGAACTGACCCACTTCTGCCTTCTAGACACTTTTTTTGTAAAAAATGAATGACTTGACCAATTTATATTACGTTTGATTTATTTCCAAAATTGAGATAGACTGAGTTATGGTTACAAAGCGATGCCATCATCGTGTCCTCGAACAGCACAATAAAACAAACATGAATTCTTGCAATATGAATTTCATACTGTTAGGATCACTAAACTAGAGTTATGAGAATGATTACAAGAGTTGATAGCTGACTACAATACGGTCAAATTAGCAAGAGGGAGTCAGAACCCATTCTCTGTATTCACTCTGAAAAGATTTATATACGTACTAGGGAAGGAGCCACACTAAACAGATAATACGGAAAATCGTAATTCAATTTAAATTCATTACCGAAATTAGTTGGGAACAGATATTGCCAAAATCTATGAACTAATACTCTTTATAAAAGTACTAACAATAAGAATGATAAAAGCACTATTTTGGGAAAAGTTGACAGGAGAGATGGTGATGACAACCACTCTCTTAAAAATAACCCCTGTTAATTAATTTAACGACTAAGTATGTAGATAGGTTACAATTTATTAACCTGTCTTTGTATATTGCTCAAATATTAAGTGAGAACTTTCCCATTTGTCCCCAAAAGGGTAAATAGAGAGATAGTTGACGTGAAGAAACAGGTGGCCATTTATAAAAGGAGGCGGGAAGCAATGAAACCTGATATAAATAAAATGAGAGTAAATATATTATCCTCCAGCATTACACTGAACCCAAGAAAACGTTACCAAGCCCTTTAACTTACCGAAAGCTCTCATAATCCGAGTTTCGTTAGCCCGGTTTTGGAACATTTACCTTCCTCTTCCAATCTTCATCCCCCTTCTATTCTCCCTTTCCCATTTCATCACTTTTGTTGAATTAAATTCCTGGTCTGTGTATTTGGAAAAGGCTGTTTTGCCATTTTAGCCTCAAGAGAGATCTTTAATTTAATAAGGAAATTCGTAGGCCCAGATCCGTCTGTCTCTTAAAGTAGTTCTATTAACCGAAGTTAACGTTTCTTCAAACTGAAAGCTTTTAGTTCAGTTCAGTTCAGTTCTATGGAAATCGCTCCTAAAATCCAAACTTACAGCATCTGGATCCCTAGCCTCCAGAAGACCGCTAAGTCGAGTGAATTTGGGTGAATTTTCTCGGATTGTGAATGCATGCGCCAGGTCACCACTTTGCATATTGGCAGGTGGATTGACAAACACTGGACTGTTGTCATTTTCATCCAGAATTTCGATCGAAACAGTGGTGGTGGCCGTGAAGATTGGTTGGTTACGAGCGTCGGTCACTAATACTATCAAAGTAATGCGTTCTATGGCCTCACGATCCAATTGATACTAAAAATAGGAACGTTGAAAAGAACATAAAAGGAAAGATCAAATGCACAAAATTTACATAATAATATCTGAATGAAAATTTCTAATGACTGCCTTCCATTCATAAGGAGTATTGGAATAACAAAGACCTTTTAATCCGTTTATTCAAAAATAGGACTAACTAACACCCGAACTCAAATTCTAATTAATTAATGCAGCGACAAGGAGACTTTACTTTCACAGGAATTTCTCCTTCTGATTTTGTGGCTAATTCCGAACATAGACCTCTGTATATTAAGGGTGTTAAGAAAATTCCAAAAGTGGCCTATCGTTTATCGCAGGAAAAGAGATGAATAAATTCTCTATCTTAAAGTCGAAATTATTTATTATTTAGATTTCAAGCCGATAGTAGTAACAGATAAGATAGGAATACATCGGGAAAAGCTGACAAAGAATCGAATTCTACGTTAAATTGAATAATGCTGTCAAATAACCGATATGAATTGATCATGAATGAAATCCATGTTTGAAAGGCCATGAGTAGGCCGAATGCCTTAATCATAGCTGCGAGATGCCATTCAATTGAATCACATTCAAAGAGCAAACTGACCTTCCCAGCACTTGACAATTACAGTAGAAATGACGAATAGGCAAAATAATTCTCCAAATGTTCAAATAGGGACTTTAAACTCATGAGTTCATTATATATTTCTATTTGACTAACAGTTAATTTACTTACTAAATAAATTAGCTATTTAACGTTTCCAGATACTAACCTATGATAAAATTTTTAAGCAACGAATAGCACACCAAAGTGAGCAGAGTTTGTAGGATTTAGGAAAATAACATACATCCATTCTCTAAGGAGGACGGATAACTTCGTCAATTTCCAATCCACCATTAATGAACTAAACTACCTCCCTTAATCTATTTTAATTGAAAGGCTAAATACTACAACTGGGCACCACGTTAAAAAAAGAGGTAAAGATAGATAGACTTATAAAATCTTAAAAAAGTGAAACCAAAGGCAGAGATGGCAGTAATTTTAAACAGCCAATAATATTTGCGGGGAGCACAAAGTCGGAGTCAATGCAAATTACTTTTCCTTCATCAACCTACAACGAAAAATCAGACGCCAGTCATTGGGTCAACTAATAGTGGTAAGAAATGAAGTCACTTCATTTTCCGTATTAAAGAAACAGTACCTCAGGTAACTACAGGTCTTAGGACATAAAAATTAATCATTTAGGGGCTGTAAAGATGCGCTCACTGAATGACAATGATCTATAACGAAATAGTTTATATTGAAAAGAGCAAGGCATTTGCATGAGAATGCATTGTAAGGGTGCTTGCAATGAATTATATTAAATAATAGCCGAATTACCAAACGCATACGGATCATCAACAAATTGACAAGTTTTGAAAAGGGCATTTTCAGTCATCTTATTAGCAATTTAGAAGAAGAAGATAGACAGAAAAGAAACGCTTTCCAATTTTTCTTATTGTTATTAGTGAAACTCGTCGTTTGCTATCCCAATATTGAAAGGTTTTAACTAATTAATTAGATGACCCTCAATGAACACTGAATAGATAACTTTATAGGCGCACGCGCCATCAAGACAAATTAAATTATGGACAATATGAGATATAATTAGAACAACAGTCCATAAAGAACGTGATAAATTATCGGCATAGTACAGTATCTTGCCGCTATTGCCATGAGTTCCGATGGAAGAAAGCTGTTGAAAACTGTTCTACAAGATCCAAGCACAAGTTAGTTAAATAATGACTATGAATTCCATATTTTTAGAGCTAGTTTTGCGAAAAAAGACCAATATTTGCCATTTTAAAATAGAGCTACCTTTCCATTACCATTCATTCCTGTAAGGTGGTATCGTTTTACCAATTTCCCCTGAATGAATGATGACGTCAAGAGAGCATAGGCCGACACACACACACACACGCACACACATACACAAACATTTCAAGACAGACAAAAACAGGGTTCCAAAAAAATCTACGTGACCGTCATTAATAGTAGTCTGTATCCAGTAGGCAGTTCACGCTGTCATTTTCTCACATTGAAGAAATGAATGGCTTCCTTATATCTCAAAATTAATCAGAGCGAAGGAAACAGTTGAACGCCAAATCATGGTAGTAAGAGACGCTAAATAATATGGCATTCCTAATTAATCAGTCTGCATCCAAAAATGTTCATTTTCGCTTCATTGCGGAATTAAAATCACCGTGGGTAGTCTAATACTAATAAACTAAATATTTTCGTAGGAGCATAAAAAATTAGGAATGAAACTAAGCGTCCATGTGTGGTAGCAAAAAATGGAATTAGCCGGACTGATGCAAAATGATAAATCACCAGCCGCGTGTTAAGTTATGGGAAAGGAATACATGTAGGCGGCAGGCGGAAAGAATAGCCACACTAGACCACTATAATGACGAGGTATTTTCAACCATTGGCAAACGCCCAGTAGAGCCCCTCATGGTCTATGAATCATATCCAGGAGGGGGAGGGGGGGGAGTTGGCTATTCTCCCTCCCCCCCCCCCACCCCCCACCCCCACTTAGGGTCTAGATTGGGGGAAGAGGTAAGTAGTCGCTTGCTCTGTTTGCGCCAGTTCTCTCACACAAAATGGCGAGTTATGGGAACTCCCAAGGCGCCCACTTAATCTTATAACCATTTTTTTTAATAGATAATGTGACCAAAAACCAGTTTGCAGGAGTTAAGGGCAATCTCTTATACGGGAAGTAAAAGACTTATTGCACAAGAGAGCATTAAGGATAGGTAAAAACATTGTTTTTTTTGAATTGCTTAAACAAGGGAACATTTACAAATATAACGCTTACCAGAAGTCA